CCGATTCTGTGATGATGATGATGATGATAACTATAGAAGCAGTCGCACCACATCCTGCAGTAAGTTCCCCTTCAATAAGCATTAAATAAGATAAATTTCACCGGTTTTTTTTTTTAATTCGGTCAGATTTACATAAAAATATAATGAATATTTTATATAATACATACATGCTTATATAAGCTAATTTTTAGGTTTTACTTATTTATATTCAGATTTTATGCACAATTAAAATTTTTTAACTTGACCTTTCCCACGTTTACAGATATTCTAACCTGGTACCCTAATATTCACTTGCAGATTTTGCTTTTCAATTTCAAATAAAAGTTTATATAAATTTCGAATTTTGGAATATTAAAATATATATTCTATTATTGAAATTGTTATAAGTAATTACAAAACTAAACTATATACGACAAAAATTGATTCTCGATAATATGAATATATCATTTATGATAATTTTATGGAAGGTAACAAAATACTTGTTATTTTAATAGCAAATCCCCCAAATACTACATGTACTTTAACCTCAAATGTCACATATGTTATTTAGCTTGAAAAATCACTTTAGGCAAATTTGTATCATGTTCCCACTGCAGCTAAAACTACTTATGTTACAGTAATAAACATTTGGTCGTTTCCATTGAGATTAGCTGATTTTATAGCTTATTTGTTTACATTGCACACATAAATCATATTTCAAATTTTAGTAATTTATATTATAGGAAATTTTTTTTAAGAGTTCCATTTCACATTTTGCGCTTTAAATCAATTGATTTATTTATAATGAGTTCATTTATACAAAAGCCCTTTGTTTGTTAAATTATCCTTATTATAGCACATTCACACTGCCTCATTTAGAGCGTTCGCCTCTTTATATTATCTAAAATTAATATTTGATTTAATTAAGTCACAAATCAATTTTTTTAAATATCTATTGCATATTCATATAATGACAACCAAAAACTTTTTTAAATACTAGTACTTTCTTCTTTTGTTATTGAATTTTCGAATTCTCGTCAGATGGATACTGAAATAAATAAACTCACTCAATAATATATCACACAAAAAAATGAGAATATATAATTAATATATTAATTCATTTCTATTTAAATTATTTAATATATGTTTTCTAATTAAATGATTTAATAAATGATTTATTCAAGATTTGGTCGTTTCCATTGGCATAAGCTAATTTATGCATATAAAATAGCTTATTTGTTTACATTTTACATATTAAACATATGAAAATTTGAATCTTAGTAAGTTTCCTTATAGGATATTTATTTTTATGCCTTGCATTCGAAAATTTTTTGCCCCTTCATTGAGTTAATTTATTTTCAATGAGCTCATTTATATGAGACATCTTTTTATTTTGAATTATTTTTATAAGCAGTCTTAATAAGCAAAACTATGTAAATGAGACGAATGGAAACATGGTATTAAAGCCAAGAAAAATGACTGCGAAATAATTTTTTTATTCTATTGACTCAATTAGCAAAAAAGTAAAGCCCGCTTGGGGTTAACATTTTTTTGTCGTAGAATTACAATTTGCTTCAAATTTTCTATAAAGTAAAAAGCTCATGTCATATATATTTTACATCGTTTTTTTTCCGATCTTTGAAAGAACCCACACCAAAAACTTGTTTCGAAATCTGCTTCGGGAATATAAGCCTGTTTTGGTTTTAGCAGTGTCTATTGAGAAAGCGGTCACTCATATACTTTAGATAGACCAACATAACGGAGTGTTTCTTTAATAATACTACGAAAATTAGGAAGTTGACATTTATATAAACAGTGATACAGTATAGATGAATTCACAACAACCATATCTATTAATGAAAAAAAAATGAAAAATACGGTTTTGTCACTTCTTTCTCTGCACGAACACACGGTAACAACCAATTAGTCTCGCCATCAACTCCACTGCTCCCCTTTAAATGTTCTACTCATATATTATGACTGAGCAATCTATCTCTATATTACTTTTGATCCGATTTCTTATATAATGCTTTTGGTGAATGTGAATTGTTTTTAATATATTTAAATTGTTCAGTTCCTATGTAGATGGATATAAATCGTAAAGTTTTCATATATTACGACAATGCATTGTTTATTTATCTTTAGATACAATTAAATTATTTAATAATTGATAAGCAATAGATTTTAGTCATTTTTCAAATATCCGATTGGGAATTCCTTTAAATTACATGGAATATATCCAGATAATCACATTAAAAATTTAATTCTGATGGAGATTTGTAATTAGATGTATTTCTGGAAAATATATCTGCCCTGATTAACTCTTGATAATCAATCCAAAATCTTTTCTGGTCAGTATTCATTGAAGATTCAAATCGGTTTACGTACATCCAATAAAAGTGAAGACTTTTAGTTTGGGCCTGATTATATACCTTAAGCCGCAAACATAATGCAGACAAAGACGAAACGTTGTATAAAGACAAAGTGCGATCAAGCAGATAAGTGTAATTAGTGATGATAAATTTGTTGTGTTTATGAAGAAGTACTTAAGCGATTAATTCATCATTCAATACCGATGTCCACATACTACATAATACTTACCATAAAATATACACCCCGCACAAATATACAGAACTGCAGAATAATAGCAACGCAATCAATTCATCTTCAAAATCTGCACTCCACATATATGAAACTGACCGCCTGCAAATCAGCTTTGGTTTCATCTTCGTCCTTGCCTCACAATGACTTTTATTGCGATATTGCATATGTTTATTATGGAGCAGTTTTTCATATTCATATACGCTTCATCTCTGTCTTCAACCTTATCTCTACCTTCATTAGGATTGTGGTCTTAATCTGATAAAATTATCGTATACAATTATGACAAGTCAGAACTATGATATTTCATAAATATATATTTATTAAATCTGATTTAAACTTCAGTCATGACGGTAGTTTCTATTTCACTTCATAAAAACTGTTCTATTCAATAGAGAGATTATGAAGAGTAGTGAATTGCAGCAACAAAATGTTTATTTAGTTTTAATCAATCGAATTTTTGGCTGACCATACACCTGTTTCGAATGTTGTCAAATACTCACAGTCAATACAAAGAAAATAGTATAGAAATTTAACTATTAGAAATAATTATAATTAATTAATATATATAACACATACAAAGTGAATTTCATAATGATTTTTCACTGCAAATTAAAAAAACTTCAAGTTAAAACATACAGGTCAAGTACCGATTTGGGTCAACTGAATCATTTACACTGACTTCAGGCTTCACCTTTGGCAGAATACGGTTTAACTCTTGGTACTTGAAGGCTCAAAAAATTATACACATTAATAATTGTAATTAAATATAAGAAATAGTTTCAAGACTACTGATGATGGGTTTTTGGCAATTCTCAAAACAGCTGTATTGTCAGACAAAATTAATTAATTAATTAAGTATAAATAAAAATTTTGTTATTACAATTTACTGCTGGTCGAAACCTCTCTATAATACAGCTTTGGTAAAAGTACACTCGTACAGTGGAAAGAGAAAAATTTGCATTACCTTTAAGTTAAGAACTTCAAATTCTTTAAGTAATATATATTTTGTATTATCACTTAAATGAGGTTCTCGAACTTTGTCCGTATCTAAAAACTGCACATAATTTTTTAAAACATATATTATACTGCTTTATAAGAAGAATAAATAATATACACTAATCATCTGAGTACATAGAAATAAAAGAGTTGTCTTATATAAAGAATTTATACGCGACTAGTCGCTGTAGTAGGGAAGAATTTATATTATTACGAGTCTACTGCTTTTAATAATAAAAAAAAATATCTCAAGTCTATTGTGTGCGTGTCATATTAGGAGTAAAATTAATATTTTCATTTTAAATAATTTTAGTTCAAAGAAAGTATTTGTTTTTAACTAGTTTCTAAGCCTGTCTCTTACCACTCACCTACCAGTCAATTATTATATACGGAATGATGAAACTAACAAGGTTTTTGAAAGGTCATGTAAATTTGTCAATTTTCGGAACAAATTAATAAAATTAATCTGTAATAATATAATAAGTGCTTTCGGCAGCTCGGAAGTGTGTGTACGCAAAACAACAACACTTAATAGTATAATATCTTTTATATTAATATTTTATAAAAAAGGGCTCCATTTCAAAAAACTTTAAGGCTCACTAATATCGTTTTCAATTGGTAAATCTAGACTCAATTAAATTTACTCTAGATCTGTCAAATTTTGTTGCATTATATTATTTTTAGAATAATCTAATATTTTTATAATAGTGTTACTAGTAGACATTGATAGTTTTCATAAATACATATATAGAATCAACTTTTTTTGTCAAGTCATATAAAACAGCTTTTAAATTTCAGGTTTTTTGCTACTCTAGGAAAATATCTAGAGTGTTATAAATTAATCTTGAGTGTTACATATTTCGCTCGAGATATACCAATCGAATAAAAAAATTACACAAAAAGTGTATCTAGAATTAAAATATTATCCGAGACTTATCAATCAAAAACGTCAAAACATTTATTTGTCATCAAATCACACTTTATTTGTAAAGGCATGGAAAAGAACTGTTAATTTCAGAGTAATCTTGCTACTCTGGCAAAATATCTGAAGTGTTATAAATTAATTTCAATTGTTATACTAATTGCTCCAGACTCACCGATTGAAAATAAAAATTGCATTTAAAATGATTCTCATTTGAAAATGTTACCCCAGATTAACCAATCGAAAACGGTAACCTTTATTCATTAGCTAAAGTGATAAATTTTTTTCTACTTCATTTTTTTATTAAATGAAAAAGTAAACATTTTATACACAAACAACCACTGGAACTTAATAGGTGGGGGAAGAGGTTATAAATACGATGTTTTCCAGTTCAATTAAGAGGAGAACGCTAGTAACTGAATACTTTTTAAAATGCAAAATTTCCAATATGTTGATTATCTATAAAATATTAAAATGTTATGATTTACTTATATGAAGTGGTTATCCTTAACTTTTGTCTGTTTATCGTATGTAACGAAATATGAAGTCTATTTCTGTTCTGTACTGAAAGTCAGCGACTTTTAGTTCTCATGAAAAAGTTGAACATTTGGATCGCAAATTAATTAAAATTTTCATAGAACTGCAAACTTTTTAACGACTTCTTTTCTTTTTGTGTTTAGAAAAAAGTTTTCGGAATATCATTTTTTCAATTTCAATTAAATAGAAACTTCAAGTTGCCGGCAGCAGTAAATTTTACGGGGCTCACATAAGATTGAGGTTAAAAGTCATGCAAGTCATTAAGTTCTGCTTTTGTTTTGCGGGTTGGCAGTAATGGCGCCAAAATAGCTGGCACTGACGGTTGAAATGGCGTGGTACGTTTGTTTTGAATTGTTTTAATTTTCATTTTTGTTGTGTGAAAACAAAAAGGACCAGGAAACAAAGGAACTAATTGCATGCACATGGAGCAAAAAAACCACTTTTAGGAAGAACACTTCAAAAAAGTGTTCGATTTTATAAAAGCCATAAACAGTTTACAAAACCTATGATGTGTGACTCGAGAATGAACTTGCAATGATCAAATTTCAGAGCTAAGTAAAGGCGACTTTTAGGTTAAATAATCGTTAGACATTTCACAACTAAATGCTTTAAACTAACAATCAAGGCAATGGTTTGAAGTATTTAATAACTGCATTGGATAACACAATTTTCAAATATTATTCAATTAACTACACAAATATACAATAAAGCCATAAAATAATTTTCAGCACCACATATAACACTTGCTTTAGAACTATACGCCATCATCGATTGATGACAGCTTCATCAACAGAAGCCATTATGACATTTCCACAAAACCATTTTCGTTTTAATTGTTTACTGAGTTATTTAATAATATAGAGAGCTGAGTTCAATATACATATATAAAATATACATATATATATATATATATATATATATATATATATATAATATATATATTATATATGTATATATATATATTATATTATTATAATTATAATATATATATATATATATATATATATATAGGTGTGGAACGATGAGCTGTCATGTCGTGCGGATGGAAGAAAGTGCTCCGGCTAGAAAGGTATTTGATTCTGTACCCGCAGGTAGAAAACGCGGTAGAGAACGTCCGCATCTTCGGTGGAAGGACCAGGTGCCCAACGATTTGTGGGCCAACTGGCATCAGACAACAACTAATCGGGCTGACTGGCGGAAGCTACTCGACGCGGTAAGTATATATATATGTACATATAACGAAGTTATAATCTGATAACTGGCCCTTCAAAAAAAAGATTCTAGAGAATCTTCGAATTCTCTAGTTTTCTTTACATCTCATGTCTTGTTGTAGCCTTTTTTCTAGAATAACGTCCAATAAATACTTTCGTATTTGTTACATTTTTGTATTAAGGGATTATTATATCAATAATAGAAATTTTCTTGTGATATACTAAGAAACTCAAAGACAAATTAAATCAAAAAAGTTTTTTCCATTAAAAATATATAAATTTATTTAAAGTTAAATAAAAATTATAACCAGATTCTTACATATGTTTGTTAACAATAGAATCAGCTATGAGTAGACAAAATTGTGACTCAGTATTTCTATAAGTGCAAAAGCTATTACAATTTCAAATTGATTATAGTTCAATCACCCTAGAACCGCCTTGTCAATCTTACTGAACCTACCGTTCAATTAGATTATTATTATATATATACTCTGTACATTATTCTGTTGTTGTTTATCTGTTATTCTGTATATCTTAAAGATAAAGAATTGAGTCAACCATGAAAATTAAACAAGATAGAGATTTTTAACATTAACCACTTTTAAAAATTAAATTTTTTGATAAGTTTTTTAGAACTGTGGTTACAAAACTTATTTTAGAAGTTCAAATTACATTTATGATTAATAATTGTTCTACATTTAATAATTGGCACAATCCAAAATTCAGCAAATTTTATATGTAAAGGGATTGTACTTACAAAATAAATTAAACAAAATTTTATAAACAAAGGCATCCAAAGATTGCCTAGTACAGTAGCAATATGATTCATATATCACACTTATTTTCATTCAAGATACCTGAGAACGCTTCATTAATACTATTTATCTGTATTCATCTGCATTACACTATGATCAAATTCTCAAAAGAAGGATTTTAAGTTTACTTATACAAGAGGCTATTGGAAGTATCCAATAGCTTGTCAGGCTAAAGAGCTGGTTCACCCCTGCAGTTACGATAAGGTATCTTTCATTAACAGAACAGCGTTTAACCATGGACTGCATTATCATCTTAAAAAAATGGGTCTGTCTGAAGAGATAGATTGTCGACTCTGCCTAGAAGCAGACGAGACTTCCAGTCACATTCTTTATAACTGCCCAGCCTTGATCTGGGCCAAGAGATCACAGGGTCGAGAACTACTCTCCCCTTCTGACATTAGAAGGTTATAAACGATTGATACTTTGGCTTTCATTCGAAATGGATAATGACTTCTGTTCGGTTAGGGTCTGTTGCAACACAAAAGATCAACTATGCTCCGCTCTATTTGGAGCTGGTATCCTATGTATTTCTATTCTATTATATCCAATAGCTTACTATTGTATTATAGATTGATCTGCTTGCTGTAATACCTCGAGTCATTAGTGATTACATATATACGTATTTCATAGTACATACATATTATGATATTAATAAAACTAAATTGAAATTATTTTTGACGAAATTCTGAATGTTGTATTGGATAATGTGTTGGATATCATTGCCGGACTAATAAACTACCTTAGATTTATTGAAATATACCAATTTGTATTTTTTTTGCAAGCAAAAAAAGAACTTACTTAATCTGTTATTAAATTAGATACCTAATAACAGATCTAAAACATTTGTTTCCTATAAGTTATACTTCAAGACTTAATTACAATTTGCTATTAAATCTGTGATACCAATCACAGCTAAAAAATATAAGGATTTCAACTTGATCGCAATACGTGATTGATAGAAGCTTCCTTCTAGTAATTAAGAGAAAGAGATGTGATCAAGAAGCCTAATACCTACAGGTTTTAAGACAGAAAGCATGGGCGTATTACAGATCGACGGGGAGTATGTGGATATACTCACCCATCAATTTATTGTGTTTTCAGACATACATATATAAATATCATATCACAGCGAAATATGAAGCGAATTTGCTCAAATTTTGATTATAAATCAAAAATATATACACCATTTACCTGTCATACTTCACTCATGGCTTATGTCTAATTCAGAGAGAAATGCATTAGAAATTCTATAGGAAATACACCCTCACAGAAGATGAAATATTAGATGCATTAAATGGGGAAAACTGGGCCGCACTCGCTGGCTTTTTAAAAGATGCAATTAGTTACAGGCAAAGAATAATAGATAAAAATTCTTATATTTAAATGAAATAGAATAAGAAGCGTACAATAAAATGTAGTTAATTACTTTGTTGGCAGACGGCATTTAAGCCATGCCTTTAGTTCAAGAATTAATAATATTTTGTAATTTATTTATCCATTAATCAACATGTAAGATTAGTTTTAGGATTGAAGGATATTGATTTTGAATTAAAATAAATATACTACTTTTACTAATACTAACCATTCTAGGAGACTAAATCTCCCTTTCAATCATATTTGCCACACTTATGGTGAGGACGATGAAAGTGACTCCCATATGTTTTGTTTCTGTCTTTTTTTTTTTGATGATCTTGGCGTACTGCAACACATCCCTCTCAATAGCATTAAAAGTTTTGCCAAAGGTTCTAAGTGGTTCTAAGCAGGGACCGTAACAGTTATCATAAAAAAAATAAAAATCATCTTATAACTGTTATCATATGCATTTTAAAATAAAACTCAAAAAATAATAATTAAATTTGATTTTTATTCATCAAAAATAATAATTATTATATGCCTTTTATTTTTTTCGCGCAGCAATAACTCTTAAAATTTGCTTCTTATTTTAAAACGCACAAATAACTGGTATACTTGCGTTATATAATATAAAAAGCAAGAGTATCGCGCAAATTCTGCGCGATATTTTTAAAATGAAAATATAAAATGCAATTTTCATACAAGGTAGTTTTTGCAATTCCATAGAAAATGTTTGAAAAGGTTGGTGCAGGTAAAGATTTAGTTCAGTTTTTTTGTTTTTGTATTTTGCATTTATATTTTGTATTTACATTCGTATTTTGTAGGAGAACAAATTTGTATGTAAAATACAAAAACAAAAAACTGAACTAAATCTTTACCTACACCAACCTTTTCAAACATTTTCTATGGAATTGCAAAAACAACTACCTTGTATGAAAATTGCATTTTATATTTTCATTTTAAAAATATCGCGCAGAATTTGCGCGATACTCTTGCTTTTTATATTATATAACGCAAGTATACCAGTTATTTGTGCGTTTTAAAATAAGAAGCAAATTTTAAGAGTTATTTCTGCGCGAAAAAAATAAAAAGCATATAATAATTATTATTTTTGATGAATATAATAAAAATCAAATTTAATTATTATTTT